ATTTTGCGAACATATGTAAAGAAATTGGGCTTCCAGAAGAGTTAAAGAAAAAATATAATCGGTGTTTTAATTTCCCTACTAACAATGATCGGGAGACAAAAATCGGGATCGCGACTTGCGTCCGGTGTGTTATAATTAATTATTTTTAAAAATCATAGGCCTATACGGTAATAATGTTAAAGAATATGTTTCATGTAAAATTTTATTTTTTCCTAAACTTAGCACTATGAACATATCATGCATGAACATGTATAGTCTAACTGTGCCTGTATAACAGGTTTTTCTGTATGCAATTCTAAAAAAGAAGATAAGACTAGACCATAAACCAAACAGACAAGTCAATATGTAGATCTAGAATATCTTGATTTTCACATATTAAACATTTTAAAAGTGAAATTGTAATGATTTTTTTTAATTTAAATTCATAAGTTATACTTATTTAAAGCTTCAGTTCATCATCTGTTGTGATATTTTTCAAACATGCAAAATATATAGTTGCTAAATAAAATTAAATATAATCGAAATGTTAATTCTTTTCATTTAACTTCATGTTTATTCTCAAGATTTTTGTTCAGCTCAGTGCCATACAAATGTATTTCAAATTCCAATTTTGTTTTATGTGTGAAAATTTAATAATTTATGTTTAATAGGGATATCGAATCGTTATCGTCTGACAGATTGACAGGAATAAATACTGTAGTGAGGTCACACATGTTCCTTAGATCTTATAAAACATGCATAAGAACTTAAGAATTCACAGTATTTTTAACTCATTCATGAGTAAGCCAGGTTTGTATTTGACCTTGGCATTTGATCTTGAATGTTAATCAGTGTCTGATTGAGAAATATTAAAATGCTCCACACATGTTCCTTATTAAATCTTTTAAAACATGCATAAGAATTCACAGCATGTACAGCATTTATAGCACATTCTTGAGTAAACCATGTATTTGACCTTGATATTTGATCTTAAAATTTCAGTGTATAAGGAGGAAAAATACTTTATCAAGTTCACAATATTTTTATTCGAGGTGATTCCTCAACAATGTTTAACAATTGAATATTTCATTACCATGAGACAAAGTCATTAAAAGTATCCACGTACATCATTTATGAATTTCAATGCAAAGATCACAGATACATGTACATGAACTTTTTTAAGTTTATCAATGTTTTATTACAGTTGTATAATGTTTTACATGCATATGAATTGGCTTCCTTATCCGTCGCTCAAATTGATATTCAAATGTCAGAGTTATTGTCAGAGAGATGGTCATAAACCGAACAGTTCCACAAATGTCAACAATGACCAGAAAACAAACACTGATCTCTTTAAGAAAAGCACCATGATTTCAGACTTGGGACTCTTTGACACTGGTTTGAACATCTTTTATCATTTACTCTAACAGCCTATGGCATGAGCTGCAGTCTTACAGCTGCAAATGTGCAGGGTTTCCTGAGAAAAAAATATAGGCATGTAGATTGTAAATTTTGTCATATACATTTTATACACATTTAAAATAAAAAAAAATTTGCTTGTACAATTGGCTTTAACTTCACCTTTTTCTCTCCCAAAAGTTATGCATTTAGAAATCATGAAAAATAAGATCTTATACTGCAACCTCCGTCATATAAGATTAAAAAATATCTTATTTAACATAATTTACTTGTACATTATAATTCATTTTTTCTCGTCAACTTGCCAACAAGTATGAATACATTTGTTTTAGTGACTTTTCTCTATATTCTGCCTGTATTTATCTATTTAATGTTTTTTCTTGGGTTTTTTTCTTTGTCTTGAAATTTGAATATGAAAAAGAAGAAGAAAATATCTATAAAACAACAACATGATGACCAGAAAAAATCAACTTTCTCTCAGTTTTATTCTCAAGATTTTTGAAAGAGGAAAATCACTTGTTTCGAGAAACTGCAGACCTTTCACCTCAACTTAGATAATAATGTATATGTATTTTAATGACCATGTAAAAATACATGATAAAAATAAAATCATGCATACTTTTTAGATTAAAATCCTTTATACTGTGATGACGCGTGAGTCCGGGCAAATCCATTCTCTGTAATGATGAATATTAAAAGATTAACTTATGTTTCATAACTCACAATACATCATACATACATGTACAATAGGTAAGTGCACTGCTGAGTGAGCTTATTAAACATTTAAGGCGGTAGCATTAGAAATGGTCATGATGATTCTACATTCATTTATTATAAATTACACCGAAATGAAAGAAACTATTTTCTGACCTTATTAGGGAAATGATAAGAGTAACAACCTGATTAAGGCATAATACATACATGTATGATTGTTTTAGTCTTAGAGCTCAATGATAGCTGATTGAATCATATGACAGAGTATTTGAAAATATTTATCTCCCTTCTGTCTACACTACTTCTTTTTTCCGCATCCAATTTGTGTTTATATTAAATAGAATAAAATGTTTATAGTTTAAGACATTAGAAAATTGTTTAAAGAGATAAATATGTATAAAAATGCAAACATGTTCAGTGTACAGTGTGTAGTATACATGTACTTACATGACCTCTCAAATCTTCTATTCAAGTCCAATGTTGACAGTTCCTGTGGAATTATCCAAATAAACAGAGCATATTTAACAGAAAAACATGTTATTACACTTTTACACAAGTAAGAATCGGTTAAATCGTCCAAACAAGCTGAAGAAGTACGGTCTTTCGATGCCTAGACTCTTCGTTGCTTATTTATGCAGTCGTTCCATGAAATTGTTTAGATAGTTCGATGGTGGAAATTTCGATACATGCATATCTCAAAAGACGCATGTAGTTTGTCACAGGAGGAAAATGAGCTTTTGTTTATCTTGTCTTTAGTATAATCCGTGCTTTCATCTTTGAACATGTCCGCTTCAGTTCTCTATAAAAATACCTTATTACTAGTATATAAATCTCACTGTTTTGTGTTGTGTATCAAAGATTAAGTCATGTTACATGTTATGGTTAAATAATTGATTGCTTATTTTCATAAAAATTGTATCTTGACATTGAATTACTAATACCTAAACATCAGGCACATGGTTAAATATTTTCCTTAGTTGCCTTGCTCTAAGTATTGTAAAAACTTATAATACGGTGCTGAGAAAAATGCAGTGAAAACAGAAAAAAATGTCTTATTCAAGTTCGCTTTTAATTCTTTATTGTGTAAATAGTTTTGTATGCTGCTGAAGTGTTATACTTCACTCATTTCCAACGATTATATTTTGAACCATATTACCTTATAAATAAGTTTGCATCTTCTTGTTTCTTTTCCCAGATGCTTTAGTTCAGACTTCCACCAATCAATTATGTAACAGTGTTAAGAAGAGAATCACTGTACATCAAATGGTTTGAGAAGCAATTAAAGATTTCAAGAACAGCAGGGGAATGGTCAGCATGTGTAACGCTCTGCCAAGATTGTTATCGCCAGGGTTAGGGTTATACGCGCCCATTAAGTGATCAAATATCTTCCCATTGATTTCATCATTTACAACCTTCATTATACCCCCCCCCCGCTTGAAAAGTGGGAGGGTATATAGTAATCGGTATTTCCGTCCGTCCGTCCGTCCGTCCGTCCGTCTGTTACGCTTTGGGGTACCCATCTCTTATCCGCAACTCCCCTCATACCACTGAAAGAAATTTAATGAAACTTTCACCATGTTCACAGAATCTTTATTACATATTAGTTGCCATTGTGCCTTCCTATTTTACTTTTTGATCTGACATATATTTTTGATTTTCCAGAGCAGCACATCAATACTGCCATTATATTCATATGGGAGGCAGGGGTATTATTTAGTGACCAAATCGCTCACAGTACCTCTAGTTTTATAATAAAATGTTGTAAAAGTCAAACAGACCAGAAGGGTTAGTGTTAGGGATATTTTTAACATTGTTTCACAGAGATGTTGTTATGTCAAATGAAGAAATAAATTCCATAATTAATAAATATTTTATCGGCGATTAAAAATTTGACTTAAGTCTTAGTTTGTTTCATGATCCTGGAGCCAGAAGCTTCAATTTAAAATTCTTTGTACATTATTGTACATACAATATTGAATACGCATGGTCTCTTGAAGATCGATTTATTATCGAACGAAAGAAATTATATAACATAATTTATTATTTCTTTCCGCTTTATGAATTTAAGCAAACCACGTCAGACAAGCTTTTTAGGAAAGCTAATACTTGTTTGGTTTACATTCCCAAAGTCTTCCGGTGATCGTACACGGTTAGATCGTACGCCATGTTACTCGAAGTTTATAATGTAAATCTGTTTTTAGAGAAAAAATGTTTTATTTCCTATTGAAATTTTATAAATATTTCTTTTGTAAACATTTTATATCGTATTTCGATTTTGTTATTTATTCTGAAATATGAATGAACCTTTGCTCGAATCTGATTGGCTGTTGGATACAGGATAGGATAGGATAGGATAGGATAGGATTGGATTAACTTCTATATGTTTCTATCGTGAATCCTCAATCCTGAATCCTATTCGATCCCATCCCATGTCAACTTGTGGGATAGCAGCACTGTAAGATATCAATAAAATTTTATCAAATATTGTTTATGTTGTATAATTCAGATACGGAAATAACCGTATGATCTTTTAGATTTCTTACATCAAAATATAAAAGACATAGAGGCAAACATAATTTAATTATTTTATTCAGTTCAACATTAGACAAGAATCTTAAGCAAGATACCAAAATACATGTACATATAGTTGTTTAACCTAAATTGCTGCACAAACTACAATCAGTTGTCCATTAGAGCAAGCAAAACTCATTTAATGTTTGTTTTACTAAATAAATATTTATGTTTGTTAATTTTCCTTCTGTGGTAAACTAAAGTGTTAACCCATTTGACAAAATAACAAGCATTAACATTTCATTACCATAAAAGATACAAATATTCGACATATATTCTAGTTAATTTAAAATTTGAATTATTTGACATTTCCCTAGGAAGGGTTTACGTAGATGTGAAGTCAGAAATGGTACACCATGTCACCCTTTCAATTTGCGAGTCCCCGATCACAAATAACAGTCTGTGGTGAGTATAAGGGAAATTGATTTCATATTAGTTTTATTTTTTTTCAAACCAAAATAATCCGTAAAAGCTAATGATAAAATGAATTATTAGAGAAAATCAATGTCTTTAACATAATGTTGTCATTCTTAAGTACATGTATATTCCTTTACAATAACATGGGTCAATATACAATTATGGACTAAACAGTCCATAATAGTTTTATTATCCTGAAGAATATACAATTATCAATTAGATAGAGTAGAAAATAGTTATCAAACCTCTTGTTTTCTTCTACTCTGCTCCGATTCCATACTTTCAAAATACATGTATGTCAACAGACAACTTCGACTTCATCGTTAGAATTTATTGTTCACCGATCCCGTATATTTAGCCATTGTACTAATGAATATAGGAGTTATCTCGCTTAAACCATTGTAGTTTTATTCAAAGGGCGACAACACAGGTGTAACCCTGCATGCTCGCCTACGCTCTTTCATTGTCATCTGAAGGGGGATCACAGTTGTCACCCTGCGCGAGAGGGAGACATCATGAGTGTTCTCCCTGCACGTAACCTGCTCTAAACCAATAAGATTGACTGTATAATTCTAAAGGATAATAATATGAAATATTTATTTATTACGACTTTTACAATATTGCGATTTTTATTTTGCAATCATAAACTCATCCTTTGTCACAATACACTCATATTTAGTCACTTTACACTCATAGTTAGTATATATATACGGAATTTCTATCACAATACACTCATACTTTGTCACAATACTTAGTGACTATACACTCATACTTTGTCACTATACACTCATACTTTGTCACTATACACTCATACTTTGTCACTATACACTCATACTTTGTCACTATACACTCATACCTTGTCACTATACACTCATACTACGTCACTATACACTCATACTACGTCACTATACACTCATACTTTGTCACTATACACTCATACTTTGTCACTATACACTCATACCTTGTCACTATACACTCATACTTTGTCACTATACACTCATACTACGTCACTATACACTCATACTTTGTCACTATACACTCATACTTTGTCACTATACACTCATACTTTGTCACTATACACTCATATTTTGTCACTATACACTCATACCTTGTCACTATACACTCATATTTTGTCACTATATACTCATACTTTGTCACTATACGCTCATACTTTGTCACTATACACTCATATTTTGTCACTATACACTCATACTACGTCACTATACACTCATACTTTGTCACTATACACTCATACTTTGTAACTACACACTCATACTACGTCACTATACACTCATACTTTGTCACTATACACTCATACTACGTCACTATACACTCATACTTTGTCACTATACACTCATACTTTGTCACTATATACTCATTCTTTGTCACTATACACTCATATTTTGTCACTATACACTCATACTACGTCACTATACACTCATACTTAGTGACTATACACTCATACTTTGTATCTATACACTCATATTTTGTCACTATACACTCATACTTTGTCACTATACACTCATATTTTGTCACTATACACTCATACTACGTCACTATACACTCATACTTTGTCACTATACACTCATATTTAGTGACTATACACTCATACTTTGTCACAATACACTCATATTTTGTCACTATACACTCATACATTGTCAATATACACTCATTCTTTGTCACTATACACTCATACTACGTCACTATACACTCATACTTAGTGAGTATACACTCATACTTTGTCACTATACACTCATTCTTTGTCACTATACACTCATCCTTCGTCACTATACACTCATACTTAGTGACTATACACTCATACTTTGTCACTATACACTCATACTTTGTCACTATATACTCATACTTTGTCACTATACACTCATACTTAGTGATTATACACTCATACTTTGTCACTATACACTCATATTTTGTCACTATACACTCATACTTTGTCACTATACACTCATACTTTGTCAATATACACTCATACTTTGTCACTATACACTCATACTTTGTCAATATACACTCATACTTTGTCACTATACACTCATACTACGTCACTATACACTCATACTTTATCACTATACACTCATACTACGTCACTATACACTCATACTTTGTCACTATACACTCATACTTTGTCAATATACATTCATACTCTGTCACTATACACTCATATTTTGTCACTATACACTCATACTACGTCACTATACACTCATACTTTGTCACTATACACTCATACTACGTCACTATACACTCATACTTTGTCACTATACACTCATACCTTGTCACTATACACTCATACTTTGTCACTAACACTCATACTTTGTCACTATACACTCATTCTTTGTCACAATACACTCATACTACGTCACTATACACTCATACTTAGTGACTATACACTCATACTTTGTCACTATACACTCATATTTTGTCACTATACACTCATACTTTGTCACTATACACTCATTCTTTGTCACTATACACTCATTCTTTGTCACTATACACTCATACCTTGTCACTATACACTTATACTTTGTCACTATACACTCATACTTTGTCACTATACACTCATACTTTGTCACAATACACTCATATTTTGTCACTATACACTCATACTTTGTCACTATACACTCATTCTTTGTCACTATACACTCATACTACGTCACGATACACTCATACTTAGTGACTATACACTCATACTTTGTCACTATACACTCATATTTTGTCACTATACACTCATTCTTTGTCACTATACACTCATTCTTTGTCACTTTACACTCATACTTTGTCACTATACACTCATACCTTGTCACTATACACTTATACTTTGTCACTATACACTCATACTTTGTCACTATACACTCATACTTTGTCACTATACACTCATAATTTGTCACTATACACTCATACTACGTCACTATACACTCATACTTAGTGACTATACACTCATACTTTGTCACTATACACTCATACATTGTCACTATACACTCATACTTTGTCACTATACACTCATACTTTGTCACAATACACTCATATTTTGTCACTATACACTCAATCTTTGTCACTATACACTCATTCTTTGTCACTATACACTCATACTACGTCACTATACACTCATACTTAGTGACCAAACACTCATACTTTGTCACTATACACTCATATTTTGTCACTATACACTCATACTTTGTCACTATACACTCATACTTAGTGACTATACACTCATACTTTGTCACAATACACTCATATTTTGTCACTATACACTCATACTTTGTCACTATACACTCATTCTTTGTCACTATACACTCATACTACGACACTATACACTCATACTTAGTGAATATACACTCATACTTTGTTACTATACACTCATACTTAGTGACTATACACTCATACTTTGTCACAATACACTCATATTTTGTCACTATGCACTCAATCTTTGTCACTATACACTCATTCTTTGTCACTATACACTCATACTACGTCACTATACACTCATACTTAGTGACTATACACTCATACTTTGTCACTATACACTCATATTTTGTCACTATACACTCATACTTTGTCACAATACACTCATACTTAGTGACTATACACTCATACTTTGTCACAATACACTCATATTTTGTCACTATACACTCATACTTTGTCACTATACACTCATTCTTTGTCACTATACACTCATACTACGTCACTATACACTCATACTTAGTGACTATACACTCATACTTTGTCACTATACACTCATATTTTGTCACTATACACTCATACTTTGTCACTATACACTCATTCTTTGTCACTTTACACTCATACTACGTCACTATACACTCATACTTAGTGACTATACACTCATACTTTGTCACTATACACTCATACTTTGTCACTATACACTCATACTTAGTGACTATACACTCATACTTTGTCACTATACACTCATATTTTGTCACTATACACTCATACTTTGTCACTATACACTCATACTTTGTCAATATACACTCATACTACGTCACTATACACTCATACTTTGTCACTATACATTCATACTTTGTCAATATACACTCGTACTTTGTCATTATACACTTATACTTTGTCACAATATTTAATGACTATACACTCATATTTTGTCACTATACACTCATACTTTGACACTATACACTCATTCTTTGTCACTATACACTCATTTGTCACTATACACTCACACTTAGTGACTATACACTCATACTTTGTCACTATAGACTCATACTTTGTCACAATACACTCATACTTAGTGACTATACACTCACACTACGTCACTATACACTCATACTTTGTGACTATACACTCATACCTTGTCACTATACACTCATATTTTGTCATTATACACTCATACTTTGTCACTATACACTCATATTTTGTCACTATACACTCATACTTTGTCACTATACACTCATACTTTGTCACTATACACTCATACTACCTCACTATACACTCATACTACGTCACTATACACTCATACTTTGTCACTATACACTCATATTTTGTCACTATACACTCATACTACGTCACTATACAATCATACTACGTCACTATACACTCATACTACGTCACTATACACTCATACTTTGTCACTATACACTCATACTTTGTCACTATACACTCATATTTTGTCACTATACACTCATACTTTGTCACTATACACTCATACTTTGTCACTATACACTCATACTACCTCACTATACACTCATACTACGTCACTATACACTCATACTTTGTCACTATACACTCATATTTTGTCACTATACACTCATACTACGTCACTATACAATCATATTACGTCACTATACACTCATACTACGTCACTATACACTCATACTTTGTCACTATACACTCATACTTTGTCAATATACACTCATACTTTGTCACAATACACTCATACTTTGTCACTATACACTTATACATTGTCACAATACTTAGTGACTCATACTCATACTACGTCACTATACACT